ATATTTATTCATCAACCGCTCAATATGCTCACAGAAAGTGACGGGGAGGTAATACAGACTCATAGTGTATGTAGGAAGGGATTGAGCCACACTCTTCAACAAAATTTCTTTCCCGGCTCTAGATAATATTCTTTTCGACTAACCACCCAACCGTTGCTTCAGCTTAGTTTCTATAAAAGAGAAAACCTCCTTACGATTTCTGCCAATACCCAAAGGAAGGCCCAAGTACCAATACTTTCAGTTTCATTCACCCCAAGGGCGGATGCTACTGCAATTCTGTTGAGACTGTCAACATTTTTACTAAACACAACACATGACTTTGTATAATTAATCGTTTGACCGGACATAGCTTCATAAGCCTATAAACAATCCCTAACCACATTCGCCTCATTTACGGAAGACTTAAAAAATAAGAGACTGTCGTCCGCAAATAAGAGGTGCGAAATACCTGGCGCACCTCTCGCCACAATGCATGCAAGGAGATATATGGCCATCACCAACAGATTTTGATATCAAATAAGACAAGCCTTCTGAACATAAAATGAAGAGGTAAGGAGAAAGAGGGTCTCCCTGGCGCAAGCCTCTCGTAGGAGTGATGAAATATGTGAGAGCCCCGTTCATGTTAACCTTATAGCGGACAGTAGAGACACATAACATTACCAATTCGATCCATTGATTATGAAAACCCAATTTTTCCATAATGACACGAAGGTAATTCCACTCCATCTTGTCATAGGCTTTTGCCATGTCTAGCTTTAGAGCGCACCACCCTGCTTTACCTGCTCTTTTACGGTTTAAATAATGGACAGCTTCAGAAGCAATAAGAACATTATTCGTTATTAACCGACCTGGAAGAAACGCGCTTTGAGTTTCAGATATAACTTTGTCAAGGACCTCTTTTAAACGATTCGCCACCATTTTTTTCAGAATTTTATAGGTGACATTACAAAGCGCGACCGGTCTCAAATCACCCATGTTTTCGGGAACAGCTTTCTTAGGGACCAGTGTTATATAAGCATCATTCATTCCTTCTGGTAATGTTCTCGAGTGAAGGCAAGTAAGAACAAAAGCAGTGATATCATTACCAATACTTCCCCAAAAGTGTTGGAAAAACCCAGGATTAAAACCGTCTGGTCCTGGTGATTTATCCGGGGCCATAGAGAAGATCGCTTCCTTTACTTCTTCAGGTGTAAAAGGCTGTAATAATCTTGCATTATCCGCATCATTCACTTTCGGATTCAGCGTATCAAGAGGGGTAGAAACAGTAGTACCTGCTGTGCGAAAGATGTTAGAATAATAACCTGTAGCCAAATCTATCAACGGGGTACCATCTATCCAATCGCCGGCCTCATTTTTTAAACGCACAATAGTATTCTTCTTCTTTCGGGATGTCGCATAGGAGTGAAAAAACTTAGTGTTTCGATCCCCTTGCATCAACTAGTGTTGTTTGGCACATTGACGTCAGAAGACGTTCTGTTGATTGCTTAAATGGCGTATCTGGTTGTCCATGTCATGAACCAGGCTCAAAGATGACTGGTCTGTGCGTTCCCTAAGCAGATTTATGCGTTTCTAGAGGGCTTCAATATCATGTGAGAGGCGTTTTCCCAAATCTCCACCCCATCTTCGTAGCTGTTCACCACAGTAGTCTAGTCGACTAGGGATAGAATCACCCGCAGAGTTCAGCCATGCGTCACTCACTACTTCTCCACAGCCAACGTCATGAAGCCACGCATTCTCAAACATGAATCTCCGACGTTGAACTCGAATTCTTGGTTTCTCAAGATCGAGAAAGATAGATGTGTGATCAGAGTTTATAACTTCTTTATAAAAACAGTCGCATGCTCATATAACATACACCAGTCCGCGCTTGCAACAGCTCTATCGAGTCGCTCCTCCACCCAATTGACAGTGCCCTTGCTCTTCTCCCAAGTGAACGGTAGTCCTTTCATTCCCAGGTCAAACAGTTGACAATGGTCTAGGGTACTGTTAAAGTCGTTCATAAGAAGGGACGGGTGACTATGTATACCTCGCTTCTCGGTTGGGGATGAGATTTCGTTGAAGTCACCAATGACCAGCCAAGGTAGGTTCGATTTTCCATGCAGGTTACGCAAAAAGTCCCAAGATTGCTGGCGATATTGTCTGTCTGCGAAGCCGTAAAAACAGGTTAATCTCCACGTTGGACTATTTGGCAAAGATATATATCATGCTGATAAAGTTAAACATTTTAGCCTGCACAAGTACCACTGCACCAGCTCAGTTGTATATTTTAATTAAGCAATGACACAAAATAAGTCTTTACAAGTCGCAGTGTGAGAATTAATTTTAGTCAATGTAGTGGTTTTGTCTAATTCTCCATCTAATGCCCCGCAAAGTTCTTATATGGGAAATGAGACTTTTTATCCTCTGAATTATATGATTATAGCACATTTTCTCCTTGAATTCTTCATGTAATTACTTTAGTCCCCTCAACTATTTTAAAAGTGGTGATTTTTCCCTGATATATTAAATGGACATTTCTACTCTTAAAATAAACATTTTATTCATTTGGCACAAGTGTCAAATAGGCCCATCTACTACTGCGAAGTGCTCAATTCCCACCATGAACTAAATTAACGGCCAAATAAGCCTATCTATCAGCTAAATTTGTTCAATTGACTTTTTTTGCAGGTTGCTAACAGGTTGCCTTTCTCCAACCATTTTGTAAATTGCCTTTCAAATCTTTGCTTAGAAACCTTTATTTTCTGCAAGCCTTTCTCCAGAAAGAATCCAGTGGTGATGGTGGTTTACTCAAAGATTTGGAAATCCAAATCAGAAACTTTTGCACTCAAAGCCGAAGATGACATCCAAATAATAATATTTGCTTTAGTTGAACTCCGACAAACTTTGCGAGAAGCAGCAAAGAATGCAACACAGTTGTTGAAGATTCTAACCAGACAAAAAGAGTCATGTTTAAGTGAAAAGGGGATGGCTAGTGCTGCTTTAAGCATTCTCATAACAAAGCTTGAGTATTTCTTTTTGAAACCCATCCCAATTGTGTTTCTTGGTGATGAAGTTATTATGCCTTTCTTTGAATACCTTTATTTTTATGAAGAATACCTTTTGAGCCTCATCCCACCTTTTAATGATGAAGCAGGCGTAGAGCCGTCAAAAATGGGTTTTACCCGCCGGGTCGACCCGTCCCGTACCGCTGTAGGTAGGAGACGGGTTCTTCAAATTTTGATCCGCCAAGATGCGGGCTTTTAGCCCGCCCCGCCTGGGTCACAAGTTCAGGCGGGGCGGGTCAGGCAGGTCATGGGTTTAGCCCGCGACCTGCTAATACATTATATTTTGTATATATATTTAGTATTACATATTATTTTTTTTTGTTATTTTGGTTTGTGTAATTGTGTTAGTGTGTTATAACTTATAGGGTTATAGATTTATAAGAATACAATACTAGGTAGTGTTACTGTGTTAGTGTACTGTGCATCTGTATAGTGATTCTTTTTTTTTTTTTTTGAAGGATATTGTACAGTGATTCTTTTTTTTTTAATTAAGATAATGAAAAAATTGATTGGCGGGCTTTGGCATGGCGGGGCGGGCCGAGCACATTCCAAGCCCGCTAAGAGGCGGGCTTTTTAGCCCGTCCCGCTACGAGGACGGGCTTTGGTGTATTTTGGCTCGTCCCGCCCCGCGAGACCGTTTTGACGGCTCTAAGCAGGCGAATAAGCAATGAAATCTTTATTCAAAAAGCTTTGTTCTCTGCAAGCCGTATTGCAGAGGAAATCTAATAGTAGTGCTGCAATCAGAAAATTTGCACTCAAAGCTGAAGATGACATCGAAATACAACTACGCAAGCTGAACAGAATAGCTGGAGAAAGGCAACCTGCAAAAAAAGTCAATCGAACAAATTTAGCTGGTAGATGAGACTATTTGGCACTTAATTAAGTTCGTAGTGAGAATTGAGCACTTGGCAGTAGTAAATGGGCCTATTTGACACTTGTGCCTATTTATTTTTCTTCTCCAACAAATTATTGCTTATACATAGGGATGACTATGATTCGGTTTAAACTGAACTGGACACTGTAGCAATCGAACCGAAAGTTTCCGGTTATGATTCAGAGCCAGAATCAAATATTTGAGTTTAGTTTAATTACTAAAATCATGAACCGGACAAATTAAATCTTGAACCATGAATTGGCGGTTCAAATCGGAACAACTACTAGCATTAGCTTAAAATTAGAATTACAATATTTGCAAATAGTGTATGTTCTTTTTCACATTTATTATGATTCTTACATATAAGTATATATAACCGTGATTTAGTTTTGAATGTAAACCACTGGTTCACTGATCCTGATCCAATTTAAACTGCTAGTTCAAACTTTCTTTTAATTTTTTTTTTTTTTGGAAAATAGTCTAAATTCAACAATTAATTTATTTTATTTTTGAGAAAAGTACAAATAGGCCATTGAACTATTTGGGGGATAGCAATTAAGCCACGGAACTCGAATAAGCTCCAAATTGATCTATGAACCTGCAAAAAATGTACAATTAGCATTTTTAGTAGGTTACCAACAAGTTTGTGATGATTAAGATATCATGTTCAGTTGAGTCACCATGATTTACAATTTACATCCTCCCAAATGCTCTGTGGGGCCGGAGTGTGGGGGCCCTTAGGGTTAGGGTTCAACCTTTTGGAAGAATGATTAGGATGCCATGTTTATTTTTTATTTTTTATTTTATTATTAAGTTAAACTTTTATTTAGTTTGCTTAGTTTTTCTTTTCTCCAATCTTTATTTTTTTTTTAAAAAAAAAAGGTTACAAATAAACACATTTTTTAAATTTTATTTTCTCCAAACGAACGAGACATGTCTTCAGTTACTAAATATATCCTTGGTATTTTACCAACTATGTAAAAATTAGTTATCTCTAATCTCTATTACGGAGATAGTACCCGATATATATATATATATATATATATATATATATATATATATATATATATATATATATATATATATATATATACTGCTAATTCTACGCAAGCACTATAAAATAAACCCGAGACCAATTAAAGCAAGTAAAAGACTTTATTGATCACGGTAAAGGCCCTAAGTACAATCTACTTGGTTGCTCTGAGTACCGACTGACTGCGGTCGGGATTCTCTAATAACAACCTATCGATCGTCCAAAAGTCCCCTACACTGTAGCTACTGTGGGTATTTATAGCCGCTGTGCCGGGGACAAGGATCTGGCCGTTCGGCATGTTCTCCACGTAGCCACCACGTGTCATCCTCCCAGGTACCCTGTCTGTCGTCGTAAAGAGCCGCCACGTGTCCTTTGTCAGCTCTCTCGCCAAAGGGCTACCGCTCGGTGGTCGACACTAACGCTCGGGCAATTCCCGGTCGCTTCCCGATCGGGTTCTTCATAAAAAGCCCGACCTGCTACCTGCAAAGACAAAAAGACAAAGACAAAGGCAAGTCGGTCGTGGTAAAGCTTATGTCGGTCGGGATATTCCCTACCAAAAGCCCCCCAGCCCGGGCCTTTTTGACCATCCGAGAAAAAACGGGACGGAATGAAGGAGCCCAAACGTCGGCCATCAAACCGACCGGCCAGCTGTCATTCCTTCCCTCGCCACGTGTCGGCCACTGCTGGCCTCGGAATCAGTGCGGGTCGTGTCACGCAAGTGGACTGATTTCCCGCCTAAATGCTCTCCTATAAATAGGCCCTTGAGGCCTTCATTTGAACTTTCCTCAATCCACTGAAGCAATCGGTACCCTCAGAGAGTCCCGAGCAGCAGTTCAGCGAACCAGTCGAGCAAAGCCAAGCTTCAAGTTTTCTTCAAAGTATCATCAATCGGTAAGCTCTTGATCCCTTAGCTTTTACTTTGCTTTTAGCCTTGCGTAGGAGTAGGATAGAACTAACTTCGAACTAACCTCCCGACCCTGTACTAACCCCGACCGACCTTTAGGTAGAAAACATGTCGGATTCGGATAGCCAGAACGCCTCGATCGCAGACTACGACAACACGATCAAGCACAGCAGCGAGGAGGTGGACATCATGTCCTATTCCCCAGAGGTCGAGCAACGACCACAACCCACACCCGACCGAGCCCCCGAGCCAGCAGGGTCATCAAGCTCTTTAGGGACCTCGAGGTCGAGCTCCAGCGGGTCGGGGAGCGAGGCAACGTCCACGAGCGGACGAAACTCCCCGGACGAAGGCGTTAGGGAAACGCCTACGAGGGTAATAGGGGATTACCCTCAAGTCGAGCCCGAGGAAGGAGACCGGGCCAACGAAGCCGAAGCGGATGAGGAAGACCCGGCCGGGCCGGCGCCGCCGAACGGGAACGGGTTTGAATTCCTTAACAGCGATAGCGTCGAAGGCCAGAGGAGCTTGCTGACAAAAGGAGAAGCAAGCAGAATCGCGGCAACTCTCGCTGGTCGGGTCGAGTTCGACACCAGCAGGCAGCTCGGAAATATCACCGAGCGGCATCAGGGGAAATGGATCGGGATGCATTACGATTCGCTAATGGCCCCGATCACGTTCCCCTTCTCCAGCCTCCTCACCGCATTCCTGGGCTACTACCAGGTTATGCCCGGGCAGATTTGCCCGAAGGCGCATCGTATGATCGCGTGTTTCCCCCAAATCTGCAATCGGCACAACGTAGCCTGCACGATGGAGCTCTTCAACTTCGTCTACCAAGTGAAGGTGCTGGCGGCTGCGTATGGGGGTGGATTTCTGATGACACAATCCCGAGCGGACAAATGCTCGATCGAAGGGCTGCCCGGGAACAACCGGGGGTGGAAGAACCGGATCTTCTCAGTGAAGTACGATCCGTGGATCCTCCCGGTCGAGAGGGTCTGGAGTCAGCGTTTCCGAAAACAAGTCATCCCAACCGAGACTCAGGCCCTTATAGACGCCGTCACCAAGATCTCGGCCGAGGTTTACGAATACCGGATCTTCAAGACGCCCGAGTCCCTTGAAGCGGCCAACTTGCCCGAGCCGGTATACGACTTGCCTGAGAAGTACAAGCCCGAGCCCCGGGGCGTTACGATTGCAAGGATGCCCGCCCGGGGAAAACGAAAGGGCAAAGGTTCAACATTAGCCTTCTTCTCCGACCTTAATAGCCCGACTGGGCCTTTAACTCGATCTAACCCTTTCTTTTATTTGCAGAGATGGCCGGCTTTGGAGATGAGGATGTCCCACTACGCCAGGTGGCCAAGATTTCCCTTGGCCGGAAGAAGGCCTAGACCAAACCGGCTGGGGAAAAAGAGATCCCGACCGCGCGACCGATAGGGGCATCAACCGTCACCACGGCTGAAGGCTACGTGGTAGACGCGTCGGAGGTCCTGGTCGCCTGAGTGGCGGTCGAGAAGGGAAAAGAGAAAGTGAAGGAGAAGACCGCCTCGGAGACCGGGGCCCTAAAACGGCGCCGCGAGCAGCACAGCCCGACGCCCTCAGGCGGCGGCAGCAAAGGTGGTTCCTCGATCCTCACCCGGATCGGGAATGCTGGGTCGGCTAAGGAGGACATCTCTAAGCTGACCCCGAGCCAGGTAGCCGAGATGATCGGCCACGACCTGGCTGAGGTAAACATGTTTCCATCTTTTAAATTTTCTTTTAAGTAACTCCACCCGGCTAACATTCGATCATGTTGTGCACTGCAGATCTCCCGAGCGGCCCAGTTCCTCCAACAACGGGCTCTGCAGGCCAATGAAGCCGAAGCCCTGAAGAAGGTCGCCAACCGTCGACTACAGGAGATCCGGGACCTCGAGGCCGAGCTCAAGAAGGTGAAAGCCGAGCGGGATCTCTCGGAGCAGGTCGCCCAGCAGGCGATCGGGGAAGCGGCCGAGTTAAGGGCTCGCCAGAATGACCCGGACAAGCTCGCCTAACATCTCTTCCAAGACACCAAATCGGGCGCTCGCTTTCTCCAGTCCGTTCGGGGCACAGAAGTCGGGGAGAAGCTGGTGTGGACGTTTGGCCGGTGGGCGTACAAAGCCGGTCAGCGAAAAATGCGCGACCAGACCAAGAAGATCATGGAGAAAGCCCTTGAAGGGGATGATCTCCAGTTGGTCTTGACCACACTCCCCGACGACGTAGCCGACCCGGGGCCAGCACCTTTTGATCCGAAGGATCGGGCCACGGTGAGCGGAGCTGAGGCCGCCCCGAGCGGGGAGGGAGCGCCGAGGAAGGGTGATGCCGAGGCGAAGAAGTAGAATAGGTTTAAGCTTTACTTCTTTTTGTAATGACGCTGGTCGGGAGCCCGGTCCCGATTTTGTACCGGGCACGTTTGGATTTAATAAATAACCCCTTTTGTGTCCAAGTTGTGCCTTTCGTTTTTCGTTTTACGTTTTTATCTTTCAACGCGCATATACCGATCGTAAGTGCTCGACCTCACGGCCATTTAGCCCGGTCGTGCACCACTCACTCGACATCCGACCTTGTGGCCTTATGGCCCGGTCGCACATCCGATATTTCGACGTCTCATTGGCCTACCCAACCGAATGTATCCGATCCTACGGCCTTGTCGAAATTTTGAGAATAGGCAAGCCTCCACGTTCGGGATATCTCCGAACAACGGACTTATGTCAACGTCATATTGGCCAACCCGATCAGGTTTACCCCGATCTCCAGGCCTTGACAAAATTTTGAAAATGGGTAAGCCCCACGGTCGAGTTTTCCCGAGCGATGGGCCTACAGACACTTCCTTGTCCCAGCCCCCACACTATTGTGCTCTCGAGGCACGAGTGAGTGCGATAGTGAAAAGAAGTGGATTAGATCGGGGAATTATGCTGTATGCTCCTGGCTTCCCCAATCAAATGGCGTGACCCGATTGTCCGCCGAAGTGGAGCGTATTTGCCCGGTCAATAAACTCGCTTCGGTCGATGTAACTTGATCTGCATGCACCCAAAAGGTATAGGAAAAAACCGACCGGGCCGCTGTATACAAACGGTCAAGAAATCACCGATCGTGTATACATTAGACATTTCCGCTCGCAGGCGGTTAAGATATATTTACAATAATAAATTTAATTACAAACGACGACCGGGATTAACTCGCAGGTCGAGCCCCCACTTCGTCCAAAGATTACAAAAAATAGGCTAATGCCTAAACATAACGAGGTGCTCGGAATTCCAAGTCCCCTCGATTACCCGACCGGTTGTTGTCTCCAGTCGGTATGTACCCGGCCGTATGATAGCGCTGATGATGTACGGCCCTTCCCAATTTTGAGCTAGATTTCCGCCTTCCAAAGGTTGACTGGCCTCCCTTCGTCGTAGAACATAATCTCCCACTTGGAAATAACGAGGGTTGACCCGAACGTCCTTTGAACTCTTGACTCGTTTCTGATACTCAGCCATACGCCGAGCAGCTAGCTCTCTTTTTTCCTCGACCCCGTCGAGATCCACGACCATCGCATGTTCGTTCTCCTCCGCATTGTAGGTTCTTTCTCGATCAGTCGGAATCCAATCCTCGATCGGGAGTCGGGCCTCTGCTCCATAAACCAGGGCGAAAGGGGTCTCCAAAGTAGCTTCCCTCGGGGTTGTCCGATAAGTCCACAACACATATGGCAACTCATCGGCCCAACTACGACCAGCCGAGTGTAGCTTCTTTTTTAGACCTTCCAAAATCGTCCAGTTAACATTTTCCACTTGTCCATTTCCCTGTGGGTAAGCCATCGACGACCGGACATGGGTTGTCCCGATCGTGGCCAAGAAATTTTGAAAATATTGGCTTATAAATTGGCGGCCGTTGTCGCTGATGAGATGCACGGGCACGCCAAAGCGGGAAATCACATTGCGCCAAAGGAACCGAGCACACTGCTGAGAAGTGATCGTGGCTAAGGGCTCGGCTTCGATCCATTTAGAAAAGTAATCGATAGCGACAATCACAAACTTTCTCCGACCGGAGAGCTGAGGGAAGGGGCCCAAGATGTCTACCCCCCATCTAGCGAAGGGAATTGCAGTCGTTACCGACTGATAGAAAGTTGCCGGTCGTCCAGGCATCCGGGCAAACAGTTGGCACGTCTCACATTCCCGAGCTAACTTTTCACAGTCTAGCTGGAGGGACGGCCAATAGTACCCGATCAGCATGATACGACGGGCTAACGATCGGCCTCCTTGATGTGAAGAACAAATTCCCGAATGCAATTCCTTCATGACCAGTTCGGCCTCAAATGCGGTCAAGCAACGCATAAGAGGTCCTCCGTATGACCACCTGTAGAGACGACCGTCTAAGACTTGGAACCTTGGGGCTCTAAGCTTGGCCTTCCGAGCACGCTGTGGGTCGTCTGGGAGTTGACCGTGCTCGAGGTATTCCTTTAGATCGGTGATCCAGTTATCTTCTGCCGGTTGGATCGGATTGACCGGTAGACGATGGATGCTATGTCTCGGGATCACCAAAATTCGTGCTATCTTCGACATATGTTCCGGGGCGTCTTGAGCCAATTTATACAAGATGTCCGCATCGGCATTATCCAATCGGGGAATGTGCCGGACGGTATACCCCCGGAACTGAGCAAGCTTCTCCATGGCTAGGTCTCGGTATAATTGTAGACGCTCTCCACTGACTTCATAGTCTCCGAGAACCTAGCCGACCACGAGCGCAGAATCTGTTTGAGCTCGGATGTATTCAGCCCCCAAGTCCCGAGTGCACTGTAAGCCGTTAACAAAGGCTTCGTACTCGGCTTCATTATTGGTCGGATGGAACTGATACATGAGAGCAAAGTAAACTTTGAATCCCTCCGGGCTCGTGACCACCACTCCTCCTCCAGCCCCTTTTTTGCTACTCGACCCATCGGTAGCCAACGACCACCACTCAGCCTCAGGATCCGCAACTTCGGGGGGTCGGGTATCCCGGGCGGTGCACTCGACCAAGAAATCATCTAAAGCTTGACCCTTGATGGCTGGTCTTGGTCGGTATTCGATCGCGTACTGGGTTAACATCAACGACCACTTGACTAGGCGACCGGAAGACGAAGCAGTTCGGAGGACTGGCCCGATCGGCTGATCGGTTAATACGCGAATTGCTCGACCCTGGAAGTAGGGAGCCAACTTCTTCGCGGCAATGTATAAAGCGTAGACGACCTTCTCTAACCGAGAGTACCGGAGCTCGGGACCATGTAGCGCGTGGCTTACATAGTACACCGGTTGCTGGACCCCTTCCGGATCGGTTCGGCACAATACTGCGCTTACTGCACGATCGGAGACGGCGAGGTATACGTCTAGCTCTTCTCCGAGCTCGGGCTTTGAAAGCACAATAGGTGACATGAGATACTCCTTCAACTCATCAAAAGCCGCTCGGCATTCTTCGTCCCAGACGAATCCATTGACCTTTCGCAATACCTTGAAGAAAGGTAAAGCGCGCTCGGCTAACTTGGAGAGGAATCGGCTGAGGGCTGCCAACCGGCCGGTCAATTGCTGGACTTCCCGAACGGTAGAAGGTGGTTGCATGTCCAGAATCGCTTTCACTTTGGCCGGGTTGGGCTCGATTCCTCTCTTAGTCATCATATAGCCGAGGAACTTGCCGGTTTGAACCGCAAATGTACACTTGGTTGGGTTCAATCGCAACTGGTACTTCCTCATAATCTGGAAGCATTCCCGGAGGTCCCGAGTGTGGTCGGATCGGTCCCGACTCGTGACCAACATATCATCAATGTAAGCTTCCATCGTTCGGCCTAGCAAATCGGCAAAGAGTATATTGACCATTCTCTGATAGGTGGCTCCTGCGTTGCGGAGACCGAACGACATCACTCGGTAGCAATACAGCCCGTCCGGGGTCACGAAGGCTGTCTTGCTCTCGTCTTCATGGTGCATCATGATTTGATGATAACCCTTGAATGCATCCATAAAGCTCATCAATTCGGCCCCGGCCGTCTCGTCGACCATCTGGTGGATACTTGGTAGAGGATACGGGTCGAGCGGACAGGCCTTATTGAGGTCGGTAAAATCTATGCACATCCTCCACGCTGGGGGCTTCGGAACAAGAACTATATTAGCCACCCACTCGGGATAAATCACGGGTCGGATGTGCTCGATCGCCGCCATCTTCTTGACTTCCTCTCTAACAAACTCGCGGCGATCGGAAGAAAGGTGCCGGGTTTTTTGCACCACCGGCTTCGCTGCGGGATCGACGGCTAACTTGTGGCAAATAACCGGCCGGTCGATCCCGGGCATGTCCTCGGGCCCCCAAGCGAAGATATCGGCATACTCCCGGAGTATGGCCAAAATTTCTGCTTGGAGATCGGGGGTGAGGGCCCGACCAATCTTAATCTTCCTATCCGGTCGGTCCTCGGATAGGGGAACTTCTTCTATCTCCTCGGAAGGCTCTGGTTGTTCCTTCCGATCTTTAGCCTCTTCTTTGGCTATGGTGTTCACCCGGGAAGACGAACCGGAATCGCGTCTGTTAACCGCTCGGGTGTAACACTTCCTGGCGGATTGGACATCGCCACGGACTACACCGACCCCATTAGGGGTGGTGAATTTCATGCAAAGGTGAGGCATTGAAATTATCCCACCGATCTTCATAATGGCAGGTCGGCCCAGGATGATGTTGTGGACACAATGGAGGTTGACCACAACGAATTCTAACTCCGTCTTGATCGCCTTCGGGGCTGTGCCGATCTCGACCGGGAGCATTATCTTTCCCTCGGGGTAAATAAGAGCCCCGGTAAAGCCAGACAGTGGTACACCGACCGGAGTCAGCTCCTTCCTGTCTAGTCCAAGCTTTTCGAACACGTCCAAATAAAGGACGTTCACACTGCTGCCAGTGTCGACCATAACCCTCTGGACGTCCGTCCCTTTCACATCAATTGTGACCACGAGCGCCTCCATGCCGTGGTCACCGCTGCTGGGTTGATCTTCCAGGGTGAAGGTTATGGGCTCCATCTTTTGCCTCTTCTCGGTTTCCCGGGAATCCACTATAGCGACCGGGCAATTACTTCGCGGTCGGGAAGCGTCTTCCAATCCACCGAAAATAACGTGGATGGTCGGCTTTCCTGCTGGTCGGCTGCTAGACGGAGGGTCAGGGTCCCGTCGGTCATCGCGACGATCATCTCTTCGATCGTCTCTTCGGTCCTGACCTGACCGATCGGAGCGGTGATGAGAGCGCCGCTGTTCCCTCCGATCGGTATTCCTCTTGGGGTCCTCTCTCCTCCCCACACACTTGTCCAACTTCCCTAGATTGAGCAAATCTTCCAACAGTTGGAGCAAGTGGGTACACTCTTCAGTGTCATGCCCAGCACATCGATGGTAAGCGCAATGCTTACTCTTGTCAGGACCATCTCGATCGGGATGGGGAAGCTTAATGAGGTTGCAAGACTGAGCATACTGCATAGCCTCCGCTGCAGATCGGTTCAAGGCCGTAAACTGACCAGTCCTGGTGCGGGATCGGGGATGGTCATCACCCGATCGGTGTTCCGCCCGGCCGGCCGGTTTACGGGATGAAGACCCGACCTCCTGCGAGCGCTTTACGGCGTTCGCCTCGCCGGCATTGGCATAATCTGTGACCCTTCGAAGGGCCTCCTCATACGTGGCCGGGGGGTGTAAAATGAAGTCCTGATATAAATACCCCGCCCGGAGAGAGATGTGCAACATGTGGGTGGCGGTGGCATCATCCATGGGCTCGACCTCCTCGACCGCCGCCTTCCATTTGGTGAGGAAGTCGGTCAAGCTCTCTCCTTCAAGTTGCTTGACCTTCTCCAGATACATATAAGGCTTCCTCACCACTTTGGAAGTGATAAACTTCCTCACAAACTTGACCGCCAGGGTGTCAAACCTGTCGATCGAACCCGGCTGCAAAGTTCGGAACCATTCTGCCGCCCGACCGGTGAGCGTGGAATAGAAAGCCCTGCACATTACGGCGTCTGACACACCCTTCAGCGTCATATTGCTGTAGAAATCGTTGACGTGAGCCTCAGGGTCTGTCCGGCCATCATAACTCTTCTCTCCAGAGACCTTTAAATCGAGCGGGTAAGGCTGAGCCATTACCGCCGCTGTGAAAGGCGTCTGGTGCAGGGTCGGTTGTCCAACCGGGGTTGCTGCAGGGTGCGCGTTTCTGAATTGCGCAAATTCTGCCTGGAGGTTATAGAGTAATCCTCGGGTCTCGTTGTGCTCGGCGGCTTGAGCGGCTTGGGCTGTATCCCGAGCGCGTCGCCGTCGGTGAGATCTCGACCCGCTATACCCAGATGAGGCCTCCTGGCTAGCCTCCTGCATCTGTACGTCTTCTTGCCTGCGGTTCGGGTCTTGGGGTCCCAAACGCTGGCGCATCTCCGGTCGAAGACGACCAAAATCTGCTGCTCGGGCAGTTTCTTCGGGGTCCTCCGCTTGGACGGGAACCTCGACCGCTTGCTGGGCCTGCCCTGGTGCCTCCATCGCATCAGCACCCCCCGACCCCAATCGCGAATGAGCCGAGCGTCGAGCCCGGGAAGCGGACTGACGCTGCAGCTCTACCTGTGCGGTCGGTTGTACTGGAGGGGCGGCGGCTGGAGCCGTGTAAGCAGGCGTATATGGTGGATAACCAACCGGGGGAGTGTAGTACATCGGTTGGCTAGGCCAATACCCGTACGGCGGAGGTGGGACCGGGTATGGATATTGGCCGGGATACATCATCGGCTGCTGCTGATATGGCTGACCGGGTGTTGGGTATCCCGGTTGTATGTAGTTCACCGGTTGTTGGGCGACCGGGTATGTGTTAGACGGATGCAGTGGTGAGAGATTGAGATTCAACTCTACCGTTTGACCTTGCTGTTGGGTGGCGTGGTGCCCAGATGAACTAGCTGCGTCCGCCTGGTCGTCGGCGAAGTTGTTTTGAGCCCACGGATACATGATTGGAGAGGGAGCGGGTGCTCGTCAAGACGTTGCTTTCTCGCACGGGTTCCCCCCAGACGGCGCCAAAATGATACTGCTAATTCTACGCAAGCACTATAAAATAAACCCGAGACCAATTAAAGCAAGTAAAAGACTTTATTGATCACGGTAAAGGCCCTAAGTACAATCTACTTGGTTGCTCTGAGTACCGACTGACTGCAGTCGGGATTCTCTAATAACAACCTATCGATCGTCCAAAAGTCCCCTACACTGTAGCTACTGTGGGCATTTATAGCCGCTGTGCCGGGGACAAGGATCCGGCCGTTCGGCATGTTCTCCACGTAGCCACCACGTGTCATCCTCCTGGGTACCCTGTCTGTCGTCGTAAAGAGCCGCCACGTGTCATTTGTCAGCTCTCTCGCCAAAGGGCTACCGCTCGGTGGTCGACACTAACGCTCGGGCAATTCCCGGTCGCTTCCCGACCGGGTTCTTCATTAAAAGCCCGACCTGCTACCTGCAAAGACAAAAAGACAAAGACAAACGCAAGTCGGTCGTGGTAAAGCTTATGTCGGTCGGGATATTCCCTACCAATATATATATATATATATAATAGTTCACGTGCGAAGATACTCCGAAGTAAAAGATGGGGTTATATATGAGCCGTTGATCAAATCTAGATCAACGGCTCAAACCAATGAAAATTTTATGGAAATAAGGGTCAAATAGGTCACTGAACTGCACACGAGAATACAATTAGGTCACTGAACCTAAAAAATCTACAATTGAGTCCCTAAACTAACCAATATCATTCAATTTGTCCATTTTTCAAGTTTCTCAAGTTGCTAACAGGTTACCCCTCCACCTAGAATGCATATGTGGTATTTTTTAAAAAAATAATTTATTTTTTTAAATTAGTTTTTTAATATTTAATAAAAAAAACTAAAATAATTTATTTTTAAATTAGTTTTTTTTTAATGTTTAATAAATTAAAACTAAAATAATTTGTTTTTTTTTAAATAAAATAAAATATCGTACATGGGCTTAGATTTTATTTTCAAAAAAAAAAATATTTTAGTTTTTATTTATTAAACATTAAAAAACTAATTTAAAAATAAATTATTTTAGTTTTTATTTATTAAACATTAGAAAAACAAATTTAATTTTTTTTTAAATGCCACATATGTAACTTGTTAGCAACTTGAGAAGCCTGAAAAATGGACAAATTGAATGAAATTGGTTAGTTTAAGGACTCAATTGTAGGTTTTTTTAGGTTCAGTGGCCTAATTGCATTCTCGTGTGCACTTCAGTGGCCTATTTGACCCTTATTCCAAAATTTATGCTTAGTTTTATTTTTAAAAAAAAAAAAAATTTCGAGTCAAATGCTTCGTAGGATAATAATAATAATAATAATAATAATAATAATAATAATAATAATAATAATAATAATAATAATAATAATATATAATAATAATAATAATAATAATAATAATAATAATAATAATATAATAATAATAATAATAATAATAAATAATAATAATAATAATAATAATAATAATAATAATAATAATAATAATAATAATAATAATAATAATAATAATAATAATAATAATAATAATAATAATAATAAATAATAATAATAATAATAATAATAATAATAATAATAAAATAATAATAATAATAATAATAATAATAATAATAATAATAAAAAAAAAAAAAAAAAAAAAAAAAAAAAAAAAAAAAAAAAAAAAAAAAAAAAAAAAAAAAAAAAAAAAAAAATAATAATAATAATAATAATAATAATAATAATAATAATAATAATAATAATAATAATAATAAATAATAATAATAATAATAATAATAATAATAATAATAATAATAATAATAATAATAATAATAATAATATAATAATAATAATAATAATAATAATAATAATTAATAATAATAATAATAATAATAATAATAATAATAATAATAATAATAATAATAATAAATAATAATAATAATAATAATAAATAATAATAATAATAATAATAATAATAATAATAATAATAATAATAATAAATAATAATAATAATAATAATAATAATAATAATAATAATAATAATAATAATAATAATAATAATAATAATAATAATAATAATAATAATAATAATAATAATAATAATAATATAATAATAATAATAATAATAATAATAATAATAATAATAATAATAATAATAATAATAATTAATAATAATAATAATAATAATAATAATAATAATAATAATAATAATAATAATAATAATAATAATAATAATAATAATATAATAATAATAATAATAATAATAATAATAATAATAATAATAATAATAATAATAATAATAATAATAATAATAATAATAATAATAATAATAATAATAATAAAAATAATAATAATAATAATAATAATAATAATAAATAATAATAATAATAATAATAATAATAATAATAATAAATAATAATAATAATATAATAATAATAATAATAATAATAATAATAATAATAATAATAATAATAATAATAATAATAATAATAATAATAATAATAATAATAATAAATAATAATAATAATAATAATAATAATAATAATAATAAAAAAAAAAAATAATAATAATAATAATAATAATAATAATAAAATAATAATAATAATAATAATAATAATAATAATAATAATAATAAAATAATAATAATAATAATAATAATAATAATAATAAAAAAAAAAAAAATAATAATAATAATAATAATAATAATAATAATAATAATAATAATAATAATAATAATAATAATAATAATAATAATAATAATAATAATAATAATAATAATAATAATAATAATAATAATAATAATAATAATAATAATAATAATAATAATAATAATAATAATAATAATAATAATAATAATAATAATAATAAAATACACATGGCATCCTAATCATCACTAACTTGTTGGTAACCTACTAAAAATGCTAATTGCATTTTTTTTGTAGGTTCATGGATCAATTTGAAGCTTATTCGAGTTTGGTGACTTAATTGCTATCCTTAGTCCAATAGTCTATTTGTACCTTTTCCCTTTTTTTTTTTAGTTCGGAACATGAACCGATCATTTCGATTCCCGATTTTAATAAACTCTAAATATCAGATTCTGATTCTAAATTGTTATCAGAACCTTTCGATTTGGTTGAAGTAGTTTCTGTTCGGTTTAAACCAAATCGTGGTCATAATTTGGTAGAGAAGAAAAATACATGTTATTTATTTTAGGGATAATATGTCAATTTAATTAATATATCAGTGAGAGAAACTGCCACTTAAATAATTTAGGGAAAAATTACTATATAAGTATATAACTCAGGAAGAAAAAGTATTAATTTCTTTTCATTTTTCTACTTATTTTCTAAAAAATGAACCAAACACAAGCAAAAACAGTTTTTCATTATATAGCCAAACACCAAAAAAAGAAAAATAATAATAATAATAAATTCTAGAAAAAATTTTTTAAGAAGTCATTTTCCTGCGGCTTAGTGACAAGAAAGCATATTACGAAACAGCACCATACCGATATATATCCACAGAACTCTAGTGGATGAATTTGTTGCCACGTTACGCGTAGCCACAACTCCAAATATATCATCATAGCGTCCATTCACTTCAGCACAGCAATTCGCCTTTCCGATCCGATCCGCCACCTGTTTCCGCCCTTCCCGCCGCCGCTTAAACCATTAATTATATCCTTCCACACCTGCACACTGCACGCTGCACGCAGAGACAGAAAGGGGTAAGAAGAAGAATGGGTATTCCTTCAACATTATTAAGCTTCCTTTACCCACCGCCCCCCTCTGTGTACATCACAGCCATGACTGTGATAAACTTTGCGGCAATGGGAAACGCAGGTTTGAGGGAGACGAGAGGGAAGAACATGCAGTATTCAAAGCTCTCCACTTCTTCTTCTTCTTCTTCTTCTTCTTCTTCTTCTTCTTCTTCTTATGGGTCGTCTGCGGCGGCCATGAATAAGGCTAAAATCTCAAGCAAAAGTGGGATGGTTATTCTGTACACTCCTGCGGCGTTTCTTGCAGCCCTTGCTTCTTTTTGGATGTTCCCAGATGAGGATTCCAGGTTTCATTTCGTCTCTGCTGCACTTGCCATCCATTTCTTCAAGCGAGTCTTTGAGGTATAGTACATATGTGTTACTTTCTTTTAATTTTTGGTTTAGTATTTCCCGAGTTTTTTTTTTTATTGATTTATAAAGTTTGTGCAACGTGTTCAAATGTTCAATTCGATATAGTAATCTAGTTAAGTTTGGCCATATTGGATGGGTTAGTACAATTAAAATGAGAGTTAAAGATCAATAATTATACCATGCATGGACAAGTGGATGGTTAGCTCTGATCCAAAAATTATATGTCTGCACTTATAGTTTATATATTATGTGATTTGTTAATTACAGACACATAATACATTAATTGTATAATTATGTTTTTGGTTAACATAATATGTGCTTTAATTTGTTTACAAGTAATATGTTAATTACATATAAAAAATCTGTCATTTTGGACCAGAGTTCACAATGTAAGGTGAACCTTGATTCATGGTATAATTTGCCGTTAAAAATTCAAAATTTTGTGGTCCATTGGCCTTATTATTTTGATCAAGTTAATTATGAACAATTTAGACTAATTTACCTACTTGTGGTCTTTTGTCAACTAAAATTGCAAGGCATAGTTTATCTAGTGTATACCATAGCTGCAGGTTTTCCTGTCACTAAAAGAAAATGATTCAAAAAATTTCATGGCATTTTTGTTTAATAATCTCTAATCACCCCACACAACTTCATCCCATGACAGGTACTATTTGTTCACAAATACAGTGGCAGCATGGATGTAGAAGCAACCATTGCAATATCCTTGAGTTACTTAACAGCCACTGCAAACATGATTTATGCTCAGCACCTCACCCATGGCTTCCCAGAGCCACAAGTTGATCTGAAAACTGTTGGAGCCGGGATCTTTCTGATCGGAATACTGGGTAATTTCTACCACCATTATTTGCTGTCTAGCCTAAGAACCAAGGGGGAGAAGCAATACAAGATACCCCAGGGAGGGCTGTTCAATCTTGTGGTGTGCCCACATTATCTTTTTGAGGTCTTAGGTTTTGTTGGGATTTCCTGCATTTCTCAGACGTGGTATGCATTCATGTTTACTTTGGCGACAACGTTGTATTTGATGGGGAGGAGTGTTGCCACTAGAAGATGGTACCACTCTAAGTTTGAACACTTTCCCAAGGATAGGAAGGCAATCATTCCTTATCTCTTGTAGGTACATATCTGGTATATATATAAACTAGTTTTTCAAGATAATGCCCAATACTTTTTAAAATAAGTATTTCAAAGTATATCAATACAATATTATATAGAAGATGTTCATGCATAAAAAAAGTAAATGTTGAATTTATTTATTTAAATCGGTAATTTAAAGTATATAAATGCAAGATAATATATGAGAGATTGATTATATATAACTGTCACAAAAATAAATGTTTACAACTTTGTAATAACGTTAATCTAAGTACTAAATCTAAAAGCGATAGTCTAACTAAATACTCTTTTTGGTTTAAATTTCTAATTCTCTTTTGGATAGCATTGTTATTGTTTTCATCTTCAATACATGTCCTTTTTTTCTGTTATTGGTAGTGTGTCATGTGCAATTGGATTATTTGTGGTATCACAGAGGGATTCATCATGCAATGAGATTATGGTGTATGAAGTTTTAGATTTGTCTTGTTGTGTATATGATTGAGATCTTAGTTGTGCTATGAACTCTTTATCTTACAAGCACATGTTGATATTTGATAGTAGTAGTTTTCCCTACATGTTTCATGTGTTGTGAGACATCTAATTCTAAATTAATTAAATGCATATGTATTATTTTTTATTGTAGCTACTAATTTATTTTTAAATCTCTTATTATAATAAAGCAAGAACTTTCTCCTACACATTTTTCCCGCTCACACTATACTGTGTCGTTTTATGTGAGTATATAATATAGCTACTTTAGAGTCGAATTGAATGTGATCAGATGACTGTTTGTTTTCCAATGTCAATCAAGTACAATAAATACACTTCTATTAATGAAAGACTTCTAATGATAAGCTACATATATACACCTGCATACATACAGATAGACACGCGCATAACTACAGATAGACACCTACATATTTTACATCTGTATATATACTATTAAATGCTTCTAAACAATCATCTATTAATTGTGCTCTTGGAAACTGAAAGGTTTCCAGTAGCCTTCAGGCTTCCAAGGTATTTTTCAAATTTCGAATACAATGTTAGCCCTCTATATAAACCTCTCTAAACCGCCTTTTGCACTAACCCTCTGCGTGTTTGCTATTCACTGCTTAGACTTTGCCATCCATCTGATATAACCTGAAAATGGCTCCATTGTTCATCTTGGCTCCATTATTCATCTTAGGGAAGGACATCTGCAGAACTTGATGGCCGAAACACTGAGGTAATGTTTTCATTACAAACCTGCAAACAATGCATTCATATTTAGAAAATAATATTTTCTTTCTTTATAGGCACATATGTGCATGTAAACATTCTTAAAGACTATGTTTACTTGGTTTCTTTTCTATTTCTTTATCTAATTTGTTGTATTAGACTCTATTGGTTTCTATGGAGGAGGATACTGATGAGATGAAGGAGTAGACGCACAAGGAGATGGGAAAGGTATACACTTACAAAAGCCATGGTGCTTAATGATGAGGATATTTCGTTCCTCCAAACTTGATTTGAACTCTTCAGCCTTCTGTTCTATAAATAATGGCTACTAACCAGCCATTTTGGGAATTAAGCTTTGCGTGTTTGTTCTTTCTTTGCCATCTATTCTGCTTGAAAATGGCTCCCCTCTACTTTTTTGGAAAAGAGTCAAAGACTGTGCCTCAGTCCAGGTAATTTTACACCTATTTTACACCTATCATTGGTATTTAAAATTACTGCTAGAAGATTAAGGTGTGTGTTGAGGCCTAGAATTAGTTGCTGCATAGTGGGGCTGTAAAAAAAAAGATTTCTGGGAAAATGAAAATCAAATGAGGTATCAAAATCTATCTATCTATCAATCTATATTACTTAGAGTTTTATTAATATTAACAGGTCAGCTAAATGCATATGGCAGTATGATTTTATTTGTTAGGAATAAGGGTCAAATAGGCCATCGAACTGCACATGATAATACAATTAGGCCACTGAACCCAAAAAATCAACAATTGAGTCCCTAAACTTATCAATTCCTAACAATTCTTCCAATTTGAAGGTTTCCAACAAGTCAACAGGTCATCCTCCAAATTAATTATTTTTTTAAAAATAAAATTTAAAAATTAATTATTAAATTTTTTTTAAAAAAAAAAAAAAACAGATCGGCTGAATTCTGTTTTTTTTTTAATTATTTAAATAATTAATTTTTAAATTTTATTTTTTTTAAATAATTAATTTGGGAGGATGACCTGTTAACTTGTTGGAAACCTATAAATGGGAAGAATTGTTTGAAATTGGTTAGTTTAGAGACCTAATTGTTGGTTTTTTAGGTTCAGTGGCCTAATTGCATTATCGTGTGCAGTTCGATGGCCTATTTGACCCTTATTCCTATTTGTTATTGTAGGTGTGTTTTGATGGAAAGGACATAGATTTTTGAGGTGTAAATCCTTTATCAAATCTCTATATATATCATGCATTCTTATAACAGTACTTTATCATTTCTGCATCAAAAAACTGTTTGTTTTTCAAATGCACTACTGGAAAGTAGAATGAAGAAATTAGAGAAGTCTATTACTATAGGTGCCAAGAGAAAACAAAAAGCTGAAGATAAAGGTATGTTTCCAGATTATTTGTTAACAAATAAATATGTTATCTGTTCATATTTTTCCTAGATTAGTAGACTAAGCGTTGCTGATTTGCAGCCTATGATAGGTTTTAAAATTTGCCTTGCCCTCAAAAAGGTTAGGACAGATTGTAACTTAGATCTTGCACTTGAACAGGACAGTGTGAGCAATAAAACAGGACGTGTTCATCTTATGATGCTACCCAGTTGTTGTTCAATGAACTATACCAGAAATTGAGAATTTCAGGGAAAGGTATGATTCTATCTTATTATTCAATTCCACTGTCAGGCATATTCTTTGAACTAAAGTTTTTATTTTTATTTTCTCTATGTAGTCTTTGTACTGAGCAGACTCCATTGAGGAGTATCAACTCATATTCAAGCCTGATTTATAGTCTAATAGATCTAGATCTTACCTGTGGCAGAATGGTTGTATGTACCATCTCTGATCTATATGAGTGGAAAGAGGTAACTAGGTAGAAGTGAATTTGTTTGACTCTTTTATTTTTTTAGCTGATACAAAGAATATGTTTATATCTCTAATGACAAATATCTGATACTATTGCATATTAATAACTTCTTCTATTCATATTCTAACAGTGTGGAGATTATTGGGTGCCTGCTAAGATTGCTGACATAGAAGGGGATCCTTACTGCTCATATGTCTCTTGCAAGTCAAAATGGTGCAATAAAAAGCTTGTGCCTAAGGGTGGCCTATACTGATGTGATAAGTGTAGCAGAATTTGGGCTGATGGTATTTTGAGATATCGTTTGAAAGTGAGGGTCGTTGATGTAAATGGGGATGCCCCATTCTTGCTTTGAGAAAGGGAATGTATTGATCTAATTGGTTTGACAACAGTAGAATTGAAAGGATTATATCCAAGGGTAAAAATCATTTCACAATCTACTTTTAATAATCTTTGAATCTTAATACTAAGAGTGAACTAATGCAGACTATGAACTTGAGTTAGGAAAATTGGAAGATACCTTTGGAGTTAAAAGACTTTGGTTTGGTTTATCATTGGTATTTAAAATTGCTGCTAGAAAGGAACAAGTTGACAATCTACTTAATGCATTTCCTGTGGTAAAAATTGAGAGTGCATTACTTGCAATTCACTGTCCAGAATTGCTTGATTCCCAAAGCAGGGATCTAAACTCAAAGATCTTGCAATTCACTGTCCAGAATTGCTTGATTCCCAAAGCAGGAATCTAAGTTCAAAGATCCTACTGCTAGAAGATTGTGAGGTTGTGAGAAGCTGCCTATTGGACGAATAAGTAGTATGAACACACAATATGCAAAGTTGTATATACATAGTGCAAAATGTATGATCACATAGGGACTATTACGAAGTGTATATATTTAATCTTTTTAGGAATCCGAAAATTTATTTATACTATCATATGAAAATCTGTCGTAAACAACTGAATTAGTAAGAGTAAATTCACCAATAACAAAAATGATGGTTTCCTAATAGTAGTTATTATATTACGCAATTACTTAACAGGAATAATAAATTTCAACTTACAGAAATTAGGTTGAAACGATCATCTTGGCACCCATGAGTCACTAATAGTGATAACCTCCTTAGCTACCAATGAGAGCACACTGAATCTGTACTTGATCACAGAACTCTGTAGGTTATTCACATTTGATTAGTGACTTCATATTCAAAACAAAAATGACAAACCAGTAGTAATAACAAGCATATTGGTTTCACGTGCTCAAAACAAATGCCATCCAGTTATAAAAATCAAATCCTTCTATAAAGGAAAAAATCAAATTGTATTATTTTCAATCAAAGGTTTGCACTTAGTAAGAGAAAAAAATGATTATAACAATGTGAAACTACATTAGTCTCAGGTTACAAACTACATTAGCCTCCTTTTAACATTGTATTTGCTCATCACATCTGCACTGTCTTTCACATTTAAACCTGCAACAAAAATAAGATTGAACATAAATTACTTACAAAAAAAAAAAAAAAAAAAAAAAAAAAAAAAAAAAAACAGAATATGAAAGACAAAAGTAAGTAATTAGAGACAGTCCTAAATGTGGGTGTCTTATGCCTTTGGAAAATGTGTGCTATCATTACATATTAGAAACCTTTCCAATTCTTAAGACTATGAAAACTAATACAGAACTATAAAGCACGATGTATTTGATTATTACAACACTACTCAAAGGCATAAGAAAGGTGATACACTACAAAGACTGCAAATTTAAGTCTCCAGGGAGTCAAACTACACTACACAAATGAGGAAATTGACGAAATCAACAGTTATAGGAGTTAAACGAAAGGCTAAGGAAGACGACAGAGGTATGTATTGCACTATTTTTACAGTTAAATAGTTTTTAATTCATGCTGCTCCAGTTAGAGGATAATAGGAGGAAATTCTGGTACAAATAAATTTCAGTTGGGAGAAATAAACTTAGCTTTTTTCAGACTTATTTGAAAATGTCAACCATTTGCATGCAAAGATAGAAAATTTTTCAAACGAAATTCACAAGTACTAAGTCAAAAGATAAACAGGAAAATACTGGAAGTAGTTTACTCTAAAACTCAGATTCCATAAATCAAGAGTGGTGTACTAAATACGAACATGAAATTGAATAATTTTGAGAATATTTACCTTGAAGCACATGTAAAAAGTTTTGGACCTCAAGCATAGATAACGATCCGACGAATCGCAGCCGGTAGTAAACAAATAGGACTACAGACTAAGAAAATACCTAATAGCAGTAAAGCATTAGAGGATTGAGACTGGATATAGAGCGATAGAGTAGAGAAGCCGATCGATTTCAAAGAATCGCGGTGATCGGAGAGAAGCCGATCGATTTCAAAGAATCGCGGTGATCGGAGAGAAGCCAGATCCGGAAAGGGAAAGCGTACTGTGTTGTTTGGCCTCTCCAAATGATTCGTGCGATGTACATATATTAATATATATATTAATAATTACTCCCTCCGTCCCGAATTGGATGTCTCATTTACTTTTTGCACGCTTTTTAATGAATCAAAAGTAAATGTTATGCACTTTCCAATTATGCCCCTCACTTTTTCACTTTTGGAAATAAAAACAATAAAGAAAGCAAAAGCTAGAAGGGTAATTTGAAAAAAGTAGAATGATGGTGATGTTCAATTTTAGAAAGCGGACAACATTTTGGGACAAACTAAAAAGTAAAGTAAGACACATAAAATGAGACAGAGGGAGTATATAGGTAGTATGTGTATGTGTGTGTGTATATATATATATATATATATATATATTAATATTAATATTAATATTAATAATAAAGTTAGTAGTATGTATATATTTGATCTATACATGTACGAAATGGAGTAATACGAACTATGTAAATAGATAATTTAATTGATTATAATGATATAGTGTTTTCAGAACCAGATCTTAAATTATAAAACATATTAATATATTAATATTTAAATACATATTATAAACCACATGACAGTATATTTATACGTATTATGAAATTTTAATGTGTAGTAATTTTTTTTCTTCAGACAAAGAAAATTATGTGAACACCAAAGATCTACGTCCATTGTAACTCAGAGATGGTCTACAAGGTCCAACTCAAAGTCAGACTTATGGAGTATTAGCAACATCTTTGGATATTCCCTTTGGTGTTCTCTCATATGGTTATTATAATTTAATTGTTCTTATATTATTATATTTTTAAAATTATATGTTTTTTTAGATGATGTAATGAAGAATACAAAGACTTATACATACTAAAATATATCTAAATTATATATGGCCGTGCATCGAATGGAATGTTATAATTTAATATCATAATAGTTAAATTTGTATTGAGCTAGATTTTAATAATAGAGTAGTAGACTTTATAACATGTTGTTTGTTATTGAAGAACCTTGGTGGCTCAACTAAAATCCAAGAAACATAATAAGCAATTCTTCAATAATATTTGATTTTATAGTTCGGTTGTTGGAAAAAAAATATTTGACTTTAATAAAGATAATAATGTGATGTTTGATTTTTTATTTAAATCCTATTCTTAAAGCATTATGATGTCACATTTTCCATTATATATATGACACCACACGGGTGGAGTTGTATTATTTAATATTCTTAAAACCGGTGCTCATATTAAAAAATACTACCTCCGTCCCATTTTATGTGTCTGGTTCGGTTAACGAGACTTGACTGAAGTTATTTTTAATCCAATTTTTTATAATATTAAATTTAGTATTAATATGCAAAATTTATATTTAGAAAATACACTAAGTCAAGGTCAAACGATTTCACATGTTAGTTTGTTACTGAAAAAATTAGTTTTTAATCATGGCCAATTGGCAGTTTCGAGAGTGAGTAATCCTCGGTCTTAAAGTCTTAATTTTTGGGGAATCTAGAGGTCTTTTAAACAATACTCAAAATGTAGTTTACAAATAAATCTTTAATAATGTGTAATTGTTTTGTTTATGGAACACCAATAAATTATATTTTGTCTATTTATTAATTACATCTAAAACCTTATTGGTCCTATATCTTCACTATAACAATTTTTTATATATTGCATCATAATATCATGGCCGTGCAACGCACGGGTACAACTACTAGTTTAAGTAATTTTTTTTTGGTGATAGCCACACATTGTGGTCCGGGTCTTTCTCTGTCCGTTTAACGGTACAGGTCCACCCGGTTCGCTTCGGGAGGCACAGAAGCTGGCCCAAAGGGAATCGTCACTTGTGGGAATCGAACCCGGGTTATCCCGAAATTCTCCCCCACAAAGAGAGCTCATTTGCCACTAGTTTAAGTAATAAGAGCAATAAAGTGGGCAAATTATGCTATGGAACCGTGTCCACCTTGCAAGGTGGACATGGTTCTAAAACTGTTCATAGTTATGAATATATAGTTCAAAAATTATGAACATATAGTTCTATAGTTATGAACATAGAATTGTGAACATAATTGTGAACATATAGTTTTGTAATTATGAATATAGAGATTCAATAATTGTAAATGTGAAGTTAAAAAATTATGAATATAGTTATGAACATATAATTCAGTAATTGTGAATATAGAGTTCAATAATTATGAATATGAAGTTTAAAAATTATAAATATATAACTTTATAATTATAAACATATAATTCAGTAATTATGAACATAGAACCGTGTCCACATTGCAAGGTGGACACAGTTCCACAACATAACGATTGAATAAAGTGGCGTACATACTTTTCATCGACAATAATGAAATCATTGATTTTTTTTATTTCCATTCATTGTTGAGACAAATTGTTTTGAGAGTTTGTCAATGACAATTGCTGTCAATAGATGATGATAATAAATAATTCAAAATATAATGTTACAATAGATATTATCCTTTATATAATAAAGCTATATGGTTTGGGAAATAATTAATGTTAAAATTAATGCCACAACATCTTTTATTATAAAAAAAATACATTTAAAAATAAAATAGCTATATATTATATATAATCATATAAAAAATATACTTTTGAAAAATAAAATAGCTATATATTATATAATCATATAAAAAATGTGTTCAATTAGAGTTTAAATTTACACATACAAAATTTGATATTTGCTTTCCAAATGTAACTATCTTAGTTATTATTCGCATTGTGAAAATTATAATATAGATGAAATACAATTAAGACTAAATCAATGTAATTATGTAAATTCTCTCTATAAGTTTATTTGAATATGCACATAATTAGAGGTTATATTAATCATACAAAATTATAATTATAATTATAATTTTAATTGTAATTTTGTATTCTATAAAAATAATAAATACTTGACCAATGGAAGCTCAAAAATATTATTATATTAAATAATTTAAAATATTTTAGTTGTATTTTATTTTTTATTTATATTTATAATAACATAATTTTTTTCCGTGCATCGCGCGGGTGAATTACTTATAATAATATAGTAAAAATTAACTTACAAATTTCTTTAGAAGTTTTCATGTAGTGATAAAAGCATAATTGAAATATTAAGTTTTGTTATCAATAATCAAAAGAAGATTAATTAAACGAAAAAAAAAAAAAAAACTAAACTTAAATTTATTATTTTTTTAATGGAAAAATCAAATAATTTTCAAAGTTCTTGATTTATAATCATTGAATGCTATGTATTTAGTCGGGCTAATTATTTGACCAAAATTTATGTTAAATTTTATATTATATTTTTAATACATTTTAACATATTCGTAGTATATGTTTAACAATTATGCTAACTCTAATTGGAATGAGGTTCGAACTTAAGATCTTTCTTATAGAAATTAATAAGTTAAGAATAATAAATAGTTAACGGAATATCTACTATCTACTATACTATCTACTATACTAATAAGAGCCCAAGAGAGTTAGGCCTATAATGTGTAGAAAAAATGGCGGTCACAGATTTTAATCAAATGAATGGCTCAGATTAATTAAAAGATTGATCAGATTTAAATTTTATGCTAAAATTTCCTAAAATACCCACACACCGTTACTAATTCCGTTAAAATTTTAAGAATTGCCGTTAGTTCACCGTTAACTTACTCATTGATTTCAATAAAAAAAGGTCTTAGGTTCGAACCTCATCCCAATCAGAGTTGGCATAATTAGTACTCTATTTTACTCTTATTAAATTATATAAATAATAATTTAGTAGTTACAACAAAAAATAATACATATGCATTTCTTTAATTTAGAATTATGTGTCCACAATGCCTTTATTCCAAAAAAAAAAAAGAATTATTCATTATCAATCAATTATCTACTGTACTAATAAGAGCCCAAGAGAGTTAGACCTATAATGGGTAGAAAAAATGGCGGTCACAGATTTTAATCAAATGAATGGCTCAGATTAATTAAAAGATTGATCAGATTTAAATTTTACGCTAAAATTTCCTAAAATACCCACACACCGTTACTAATTCCGTTAAAATTTTAAGAATTGCCGTTAGTTCACCGTTAACTTACTCATTGATTTCAATAAAAAAAGGTCTTAGGTTCGAACCTCATCCCAATCAGAGTTGGCATAATTATTACTCTATTTTACTCTTATTAAATTATATAAATAATAATTTAGTAGTTACAACAAAAAATAATACATATGCATTTCTTTAATTTAGAATTATGTGTCCACAATGCCTTTATTCCAAAAAAAAAAAAGAATTATTCATTATCAATCAATTAAATAAGAGAAATAATTTTATTAGTTATATTGTCTTTATTTTTCTTCAATATAAAAATTCTTTATATTTAAATTTATTAATTGATTATATTCGCTACATTATCCTTACAATGTCTTTATTCAGTGAAATTTTTTTTATTAATTATCAATAAATTAATTAAAAGAAATATTTTCATTAGTTATATTGTCTTTATTTTTCTCAAATGTAAAAATTTTTACATTCAAATTCATCAATTGATTATATTCACTATATTATCTATTATCTTTTTTGTGCACTATTTTTCTAATTAAATATCAAAGTTATAATACAAAATAATGCTATATATTTATTTACCAAGTATTTTATTAATACCATGAAAAAATTAAAAAAATATATAATTAATAAAGCCAATCATATTAACTACTTGAGAGATTTTGTGACAACGAGAGTATTCAAATCACACAACAAATTGAAGTGAGAACTACCTCGCAATGTCCTTGTTTGACAATCAGCAGTTAGCGGTTAACGTTAGCGGATTTGACCAGCGAATTTATTTAATTATTAACATTGGGTAGAAAAAATGACCGCCAAATTATTAAATCAAATGAATGATTCATATTGTTCAGGTTTTAATTTTTTCTTTTAAGATTTCCTAATTTATCATTAATTATATGATTATGCATTTAACTTTTCCGTTAATTCACCGTTAGTCTAATTCTAATATTAAAGTCTAATATAGAATTATAACTACACCATTAATCTAATTCTAATATTAACGTCTTAATAGAACTTAACCACAAATCCTAATGTCGGAATCTCCTCAAACAATATTAGTATATATTTAATATTTTATGTCCTAATTTTTATTTGTTCTCCCTTATGTCCCGTATTTGGTTTCAACTATACCTATACAATTATTTTATTGACAATTATAATCAATCTTGACTATATTATCTTGCATTTGTAAACTTAGAATTACCTATTTAACCCGCACGGGCTTAGCTCAATGGTTTAGTAGGTAGTATTTGGGAGAAGAGACGAAGGTTTGAACCTCGGCGGCGGCAGTGCGGGAATTATGTCCAAAGTGGGACGATTCCTTGTGCGTATCAGCATTTGGCCCTGTCTGCTGAACCATTGAGTCACCGTGATTTACAACTTCCTACAATGCTTTGTCGGGTCGGAGTGTGGGGGGCCCTTGGGGTTGGGGACTCAACTTTTGGGAGAAGAATTACTTATTTAAATACGCAAATTCAACCTTCAATTATCTATGTATGAACAATTTTAATATAATCCTGCCTTAATATACTTTAAAGTACTTATTTAAAAAAAAGCATTGGACATTATTCCAATCGCGCAATGCGCGTAAAAAACTAGTATATATATACTAATAAGAGCCCAAGAGAGTTAGGCCTATAATGGGTAGAAAAAATGGCGGTCATATTTTTTAATCAAATGAATGGCTCAGATTGATCAGATTTTAATTTTTTCTTGAGATTTCCTAATTTATCCTTAATGAATATGATTATCCGTTAACTTTTCCGTTAAATATTATCTTTTCCGTTAATTTCTGTTAGTTCACCGTTAATTTACTCATTGATTTCAATAAGAAAGGTCATAGGTTCGAACCACATCCCAATCAAAGTTGGCATAATTAGTACTCTATTTTACTCTTATTAAATTATAAATAATAATTTAGTAGTTACAACAAAAAAAAAAAAATAATACATATACATTTTTTTAATTTAGAATTATGTGTCTACAATGTCTTTATTCAAAAAAAATTATTCATTATCAATAAATTAAATAAGAAAAATAATTTCATTAGTTATATTATCTTTATTTTTCTCCAATGTAAAAATTCTTTACATTCAAAATTTAAATTCATCAATTGATTATATTCGCTACATTGTCCCTACAATGTCTTTATTAAAAAAATTATTCATTATCAATAAATTAATTAAGAGAAATAATTTCATTAGTTATATTGTCTTTATTTTTCTCCAATGTAAAAATTCCTTACATTCAAATTCATCAATTGATTATATTCACTACATTGTCTATTATCTTTTCTGTGCACTATTTTTTTAATTAAATATCAAAGTTATAATACAAAATAATGCTATATATTTATTTACCCAGTATTTTATTAATACCATAAAAAATTTTAAAATTTTAAAAAATTTAAATTAATAAAGCCAATTATATTAACTACTTGAGCGATTTGTTGACAAAGAGACTATTCAAATCACACAACAAATTAAAGTGAGAAACTACCTCGCAATGTCATTGTTTGACAATCAGCAGTTACCGGTTAGCGTTAGCGGATTTGACCAGCGAATTATATCAACGGTTGGTAAAAAGATATTTGAAAAAACTAGGTGTTTAAATTAACATTTAAAATGACCTAAGGGTATATATAATAATGATGATGATGATGATGATGATAATAATAATAATAACAATTTTTTTTTAAAATATAGATGTGTTTTGGGAAATCATTCTCAAAAACGTTATGTGAAAAATATTGTAAATTGCAATATTTGTATTTTCAGTGGTTTGGAACAAATTGTTGCTTCACACTATTGAATAACCACAACACTTTCTTTACCATTTTGATCTTTAGGTTACATCATATTTACTAATCGTCTAATATCTTTGGGTTACATTATAATTAAAATTTTTAAATTTTTCTACATCTAAATTCCTTAAATTAGGAATTTCTTTAGCCATAATAATTTATTCAACAATAATGGTTGAACTAAATGAACACTGAGCAAAACACCTAAATGACTGGTTCCGTTGATTCATTCATTGATCTTGTATATATGTGCATTAATTAAATATATTAGAACCATTTGCAACAAAAATACTTGGTTACTATTTAAAAAAAAAAGTTTAGTAACAATTATAATGAATCTCCTATATTACATTGTATTCATATACTATGAATTACATATTTAAATAAACAAATTAGACATTAAATTACTTATGTTGAACTTCTCATATATAATCTTGCATTTATATACTTTCAACTATTTATTTAATTATAAACATTGAGTAGAAAAAATGACCGTCAAATTATTAAATCAAATGAATAGTTCAGATTGTTCAAATTTTAATTTTTCTTTGAGATTTCGTAATTTATCCTTAATTATATGATTATATAATCTGTTAACTTTTCAATTAAGTACCGTTAATTCACCGTTAGTCTAATTCTAATATTAAAGTCTAATATAGAATTATAACTACAACATTAATCTAATTATTATATTAAAGTCTTAATAGAACTCTAACCACAAATCCTATCGCCGGAATCTCCTCAAACAATATTAGTATATGTTTAATATTTTATGCTTTAATTTTATTTGCTTTCCCTTATGTCCCGTATTTGGTTTCAACCATACCCATACAATTATTTTATTGACAATTATAATCAATCTTGACTATATTATCTTGCATTTGTAAACTTAGAATTACCAATTTAAATACGCGAATTCAACATTCAATTATCTATGCATGAACAATTGTAATATAATCTTGCCTTGATATACTTTAAAATACTTATTTAAGAAAAACATTGGGCATTATCCCAATCGCGCAATGCACGTAAAAAACTAGTTCCTTTAATAAAGTTAAAACTAACGGAATTTAAGGTTATTTAAGGAAAGAAAATAATATAATAAAGGGTAAATAAGGAAAATCATTAAAAGTACTCAAATCAAATTAATATGAACAATTTATTTTAAGAAACAATTAGTACCGATATTTTTTTTATTCCAGTTAAGGGTCTAACATTATTCACTCTTATTAGAATTGTAGATAGATATAATAAAGCTATATGGTCTTGTGAAAATTGAATGTTGCATTTAATTTTCACAAGACCATATGGCTTTAAGATGTGAAAGTCTTGTGAAAATTAAATGGGCTTTAAGATGTGAAAATTACTTTAAGATGTGAAAATTAAATGTTGCATTTAATTTTCACAAGACCATATGACTTTAAGATGTGAAAATTAAATGTTGCATTTAATTTTCACAAGACCATATGGCTTTAAGAAGCATGCATGCAACCCCAAAGTCCATAAGTTTGAAATTAATATATAGCATAGTTATGTGGCTTAATATTTAAGATTGTTGATGTGCATATTGAGGACTACGGAGACAAAGATGCGTTATTCGTGGATTCATCGGATACTATCCAACAACACTCTCCAACTTAATTGACGTGAAGTAGGCTTAGTAACATTAATATTATATTCTCGAATTATTAGTTCTCATCTTTTATTGATTACACACTTAATTTGATAGTATTTGGAAGAAAAAAATCAATGTTCTAACTAAGATTGTGATTTTGGTCTTTAAAGGTCAATTGTATGTTGCTACATCTAGAGTTAGAAATCTCAAAGGTCTAAAAATTTTGATCCGTGGTGACTCTAAAATTGTAATTCAATTACTATTGTAGTTTACTAAGTTCTTAAAAATTTATAGTATTTTAATATTAAATACTATGTACTAAATTTTTAATATAGTTTAAGATTTGTAGTAATCACCCACCTTAAATATTATTTTAATTATAAATATATTTATGTTCATAATTTTATCATAGGAATTCACACATAATAATTATTAAATAACAAAAATTTTATATATGAATAAATCTCATATAGTGTATATTTTTTTAACATATTTTCCGTACATCGCACGGTACAAATACTAGTAATAAATAATATCACTCAAAATTTGCACTATAATAAATAAATGTCATAATTTTATTCTTCATATTTATAAAAATTCTAGGAATCAATCAAGTCTTATTAGGATGATGTGAGTTTTAATGCAAATATAGAAATGGGTGGTTTTTCCTTTTGACTTTTGCATATATGAGGCATTAGGACTAACTACTAGATTAATCCTCTAGGGTGTATATATGTCTAGTATAGTAGTATCCCTTGAATGTTTAGACATTTTCCTTGCTCCCTTTTAGTTTATACTTTAAATGGATCTTTGAGAATATATAATATTCTATTATCTAAGTGCTTTTATATATATGACAAATTATATCATCGTCCATCTTGTATGGTGGACCTTGATGAAAAAAAAATGATGTTATTTTATATTAAGTGTCAAAATGCAAAGTATAATGTTGCAAAGTGCATGTTTAATGTTGGAGAAAATTATCAAAATGTCACCACATTTTTCTTTCATTGCTCTAGAATATAGTTGTTAGATCTGACCAAATGGAGAGCTGAAATTGATTCTTAGTTTTCTATCTTAAGGAGATCGACCGTTGCCCAACTGAGTTGTCCCCTTGAATGCCTTCCCTTCGATCCCTTGCCTCCCTTTCCATGGAGCGAGGCTGAGTTTCAGGTCGAGCACACACTGGTTGCATGGGTCACACCGCAACGATGGGTCCTCTCTCGCTTTGGTGACATTACTTCATCCTCTTGCGCGGGCACTCGGCGCACTCGTCCATGAATCCCTACCACCAATTAGGTTAGGCCTCGCCTAGAGCCGTCGAAACGGTCTCGCGGGGCGGGACGGGACAAAACACACCAAAGCCCGTCCTCGTAGCGGGACGGCTAAAAAGCCCGCCTTTTAGCGGGTTTGGAATGTGGCCGGCCCGCCCCGCCATGCCAATCAATATTTTACTGTGTTAATTATTTTTTTTTTTTTAAATATCACTGTACAATATCCTTTAAAAAATAATTAAAAAAAATCATTGTACAGACGTACAGTACACTAACACAATAACACTACCTAGTATTGTATTCCTATAAATCTATAATCCTTTAAGTTATAACACACTAACACAATTACACAAACCAAAATAACATGTATTAAATACTAAATATATATACAAAATATATATGTATTAGAAAGTCGCGGGCTAACCCCGTGACCCGCCCTGCCTGGACCCGTGGCCCAGGTAGGGCGGGCTAAAAAGTCCGCCTCCTGGCGGTTCAAAATTTGAAGAACCCGTCCCCTACCTACGGCGGTACGGGACAGGTCGACCCGGCGGGTAAAACCTAATTTTGACGGCTCTAGCCTCGCCATTGCCTGTTGAATGTCCTGGGCAATCATCACTTGGAGATCCACAGGTGGTACCACTGTCCCGGGCCCTTGCTGCTCTCCGCTACAGTTGTTGTTAGCTGTGGCGTCAATGCTAGCGTTGTCGTTGCCATTGTGATTTTGGCCACGGGAGCCTGCTCCAAGCTTGTAGTGTGCTTGAGTTGATCTTAGGCTCTCAATGCAAGCACCCGGTAAATAAGTTACTAGCGTATATTTGGAAAGTAATCAAGTTTGTATTGCTTAAGAGTTTCAGTACAAGATTTTGAGTGTGTCCCCCTGTTGTCACAAGGGCTCAGCTTTTATATTGGACAATGAGCTACTAAGTATAACGGTTACAATAATGACACAATGGCTTCCTATTTAGTGCAACGTCTCCCTTTACTACGTGTCGTGGCTCCTTAGTAATTGTTGTACGGTCTCCTTCATAACTTCTGCTCTGTGTGGGTTGGCGTACCAATAAGTGTGCCATTCCACCTCCTATCTAATCATGGTCGTTATTATTTGACCGTCTTCATTACTTTGATGGGTTAGATCAAGAGCATCGAGTCGGGTCCGATGCCATGTTCAATTATCCTATGAACCAGAGTCCAATAACCCCTAAAAACCTAGGCAACTTGAGTTTTTCACTCGGTAGACTAGGTTTCTCTGTACATGTCTTTTTTTTCTTTTTTCTTTTTTTTTTTTCAATTCATCATGTAATGAGATTATGGTATAGGAAGCTTTAGATTTGCCTTGCGGTGTATATGACTGAGATTTTAGTTGTAATATGAACTCTTTTAGAAGCACCTATTGATATTTAGTGTGGTAGTTTTTCTCCTATATGTTTCATGTGTACGTTATGAGATGTATGTCATAGGTTATCATGTAAAAGTATTGAACAAAATATTAATATTTATTATATTTGTATAAAATACTTGGTTAAAATATATATATATATATATATATATATATATATATATATATATATATATATAACATGTTTTGTATTATAACTTTGATATTTAATTACAAGATAATGTAAAAAGAAGACAATGGACAATGTAGTGAATATAATAAATTAATAAATTTGAAGGTAAGGAATCTTTGAATTGTTGAAAATAAAGATAATATAACTAATGAAATTATATTTTGTTAGGAATATATTGTAAATTTTGATGAGCCGAATGTATTTTTGAAAAATCAAGTAGTCCTCATTTTTATTCTATTTGAGTCAGTTTGAGTCTACGGAGTATGGTGCACCCATATCATGCAACCCATTTACAAGTCTGGAAAATCACATGTTGATTTTAGATGTTAAGCGGGATTATAGCTTAACACAATTAAGTTGCGGATAAGTCATTAAGAACCATGCTAGAGGAGTTGGAAGAAATGCGTGTGAGCTATGCCAAATGATCCTAAGTTTAAATCTCAAGTGAAGCATTTTTAAGCTTTGGACCGTATGAGAGACTAGCTCTAACTGTATGGGAGACTAGCTTGGACCGTATGAGAGACTAGCTCTAACCGTATGGGAGACTAGCTTGGACCGTATAACAGTATGGGAGACTAGCTTGGACAGTATGGGAGACTAGCTCAAGGTCAAGTATATTGGACCGTATACCGTATGGGAGACTAGCTCAAAGTATACCAAACCGTATAGGAGACTAGCTAAGAATATGGAGACTAAGTAAAATGCTCAAGTCTCACAAAAGCCACGCACCATATGGAGAAACACACCAAGTATGGTGGACCAAGCTAGAAATTCGAAACAGAGCATCTCACCATGAACAACTGTGAAGTTTTTACAGAGGTTCCAGTATATTATTTTACAAGGATCATGAAGGAGAAAATAACTGATATATTTTCATCTGAACATCAAGTTTTTACGGTGGAACCGGAGACGCTCAAAGAAGGCTGATTCGCGGAGAAATTATTTTATACTCAAGCAAGAATCAGCAGATAAATTATTTGATCAACTTGACATGTCAGAGTATTTATGAAGGACCAGAAATGTCAAAGATTGCCGCGCCGAATTTATTCAAATTCTGGAGGCTACAAAATTCAATAAACGGCAACGGGCAAATTATTCAAATCATCTGACAAAAGGAGAAATGACATCTACCTAATATTTTAGATCAAGTTGACAATATTATTTGATCAACTACAATTCAAAATGGACGATCAAGATCGAAAGTTGATCAACGGGCAAATAGCTTTTACTAGCTATAAATTGTCCAAGCAGACTTGAAGACAAGAAGAGATAGAAGTGAAGTGAGCAGTTAAGAAAGAAAAACCCCAAGTGATAGAGCAGTTCAACAACTTGAACAACGGCTAAAACATACAAGCAAAAGATACAAGCTATATTTTTTTAGCCGAAAAAGGGGAAAATAGAGCTTCATAGAATAAAATTCAAGTCTGAGTGAGAGAGAAATTTTATTTCTTTGTAATATTCTCTACTGAGTGTAGAAAGAGGGCGGAGTAACTAGAGAGAGTGAAAAACCCTGGTTGAGTGTAACTTTGTGCGTAGCACTCGTGGTGAAGGGCAGAGTAACAAGAGGAGCTTGTGAAAACCCTTGGAGGACGTAGCTTTGTGCGTAGTTCTCGTGGTGTAGGAGTACAGCTTGGTGCGAAGTACTCGGGAAGGCGGAGTAACAAGAGGAGCTTGTGAAAAACCTTGGAGGAGTGTAGCTTTGTGCGAAGCACTCGGAGAAGTGTCGGTGGACACTTATTCACTATTGTATCTGGGTGATCGAAGAATAGTGAATTTCCTCCTTGAAGTGAAAGGAGAAGAGTGGACTAGGAGGATTACACCACCTCTGAACCACTATAAATCTCTCTCTCTATTTACTTACTGCTCATATATTTTGTGCATGCTTATTCTAACTGCGAACTAACCCGATTACGATTTATCGCTTATCTTTATATGTCTGGGTTTGATAGTTCCCACGTTTGCATGCAAGCCAAACTTTACGTACATCATCCTTGAACCATATCAAGTGTTTCTAACGTGTTGCATGTTTAGAATCTCTCTTTGAGCACCGCACTAATTAAGCATAACACTTTACCGCTACTTATTCCGCTGCACACTCTAAGTTGCTTATCTTGTTAATGCTTGTTACTTAGAGTTGAAATTAACAAAGTGTTATTTGCCTTGTAAGTTTTCGAAGAAAGTTTTAAAAGTTAGAGAAGTCTATTCACCCCCCCTCTAGACTTCTCGCCACCCTTTCGGGACCAACAAGTGGTATCAGAGCGGTTGTCTATTTGAGTCAATTTTGACTGCTAGATAGATCTCAAAATCTTCAAGATGAAGAGAGATATGGCTCTTGCTCAAAATTTGCTTTTCTCACTTGATAAATTTGATGATTGGAAAATACGTATGCAGGTGCACTTATCTGCTTTAAATGACGAAATGTGGGAAGTCATCGCAAATGGTCCTATCCAAATTATGGAAGTTAACACTACCGCCACACTAACTCCAAATGCTCCACGATATATTCCAAAGCCAAAAATGGAGTGGACAAAGGAAGATAGAGGGCGAAATAATTTGGACAACATTGCCAAAGATATTTTGTTCAAAGCGGTCGATGACACCATATTCCCAAAGATTCGAAAGTGCACTACAGCAAAAGAAATATGGGATACACTTATCGGAATCGGTGAAGGCGATGAACAAGAAAAAGACAACAAACTAACCATTGCCATGAAGAGGTTCGAAGATTTCAAAATGCTACCGAACGAAAGCATCACCGACATGGAAGCTCGATTGATAAAAATTCTTGGAGAAATCACAGATCTGGGAAAGACCATTACCCAGGAGGAAATATCGCTCAAAGTGTCACGCGTACTACCTACAAATTGGGATATGAAGGTGACCGCAATGCGCGATCATAGAGATCTAAGGACATTATCTACGGATAAACTCTTTAGTGATCTTAAGGCGTATGAGTTCGAAATGAAGACACGAGTCGAGGAAGAACGTGATGAACGAACATCCGCATTGATGGCCGAACAACCCTCAACATCAAGGTCAGTAGGAAATAATGATTTTTTATCTGACGAACAATTTTCTCTATTTGTTAGGAAATTCAATAAGTTCATGCGAAAGAACAAAGGATCACCACAAGGAAATTTCTTTCGAGAAAATAGAAGATCAAGAAGGGAACCGGTCGAAGATAACACAAACGTGTGTTACAATTGTAGAAAGCCTGAACATTTTATGGCCGAATGTCCACACCCCAAGGCGGAGAAAAATTCGAATACTTCTCCACAGGTGGAATACAAATCCAAAGAGAAGAAATCCAAAAAGGGCAAACGGAAGGCACTAATAAGCGATCTGTTAGAAGCAAGTGAATCCGAAGAATCATCTAGTGACGAGAGTGACGAGAGTGATTCATCACAAGAAGATACGGCGCTACTATGCCTAGTGGGCAAGACATCCGAACATGAGGAATGTTATATGGCGCGTGAAATCGACGAAGAGGTATCTTCTAGCTCTTTTAGTTCTTTTAGTTCAGTTGACACTTCTTTCCAGACTCAAGAATCATTTCAAAGTCTTAAGGAAGATTGTTCAAAATGTCATGGCCACTCATACTCAAATCAAAGAGCGCAATAATACGTTAATCTTGAAAAGGAAGAAATGTCACAAAAATTGCAAAATGCTCTAAATGAAATGAGTAATTTGAAAGCCGAAAATGCTCGACTTCAAGAAGAGTGCAAAGCTAGAAAGGTTCGAGAACATAACCTTCGGGAAGTAATCGCATCATTTACAAATTCATCCAAAATCATGGATAAAATGGTAAACATGCAGAAACCCGCTGGAGATAAAGCCGGACTAGGCTACGATCCATCATGTTCTCAAACCCCTGTAAAACTGACTAATTCTACTACTACTTTAATTAATAAAGTCCCAGTGGTAAAATTTGTGAAAAGTCAGTATAGCACAATGAGACAAGGAGTTGGTAATCAAATAAATGCCAAGAAAAATGTTGCAAAGCCGAATCAAAAAATTTAATATCTCGGATAGGCAACAAATTTTTAAAAGGCAAAATTTGTATCTTCCAAAGAGAACCAACGAATCTAGTGCAACAAAACCTCATAGGAATATGGGAAGAATTCCGAGAATTGGGGCTGGGAGATTATATCCCTCAGAACAAGATTGGTCGCTTGATAACAAACCATGGACCAAGTCCAGATTTGCTCTTTTTCATAGAATCAAGCAACTATCTGCTTCCCAACCCGCACCAAAGCATTATTCGCAAGTGCGCTATGATTATAGATGTTTTTAATGGTTACAAATCACCTACTCTTGGATCAGTGGGATCTAGGTGAATTTGGATGCCAAGAATTACTAACACAAAAGGACCCAATCAAGCATGGGTACCTAAAAA